CCTTTAGCCAGACTGAGCAACAAATCTAAACAGACCACGCCTTTCAAATTTTTACCAAATGACTGTGACACATTGGGGTCTTTGTGGTTATACAGATTAAGAAAATCGGAATTTAAAAATAAAAGTGTTATAGACCAAGAAATGTCATAGATTTAAAGGAGGCAAGTCTTTAACTCAATATCACCCAGTCTGCCACATTGCAAACCCGACTTAATGGTCAATTTGAATCAACATTGATGTTGTTATCTTACCGTGAAAAGACAGGCTTCTGATATACAATATTTAAGACAAAATGAGAATTTAAAATGTTGCACACGAATCGTAAGCCAGAATGCTTTCTAGCGTCATTTGTAATGAAGCCACTCGATAAACGAGGCTAAACATAACCCACATTCAATTTGGACTCTTTGCATATTTCGCCAATTAGAAATTAGAGTAAAAACAGAAACGATTGAATTTTAATCAATTTATACATTCATATTACATTATTATATGCCTTGCGACACATCTGTGTCCATTTCTAGGTGCCAAAGAATAGAGACTGTTGACACTCAAATCACTAATTACTAAACTGTTTTATTAATTAACAATTCAGAGAGGCCGATGCCATGTTCCCTACCCAGACTCTCTAGGCGGAAGTCGCTCTTCTCGCCCAGAACACTGCGCATGTACAAATAATATTTATATAAGGTAATGAACGGTAAATATTGTCATTATGATTATAATAAAGGCTAACAGAAACCATATACTCCTCGCAGTGTTTCGTTTGATTATACCTAATCCCACTAAACACAGCTGTAACGAAACCAAATTATGACTGGTCAATAGTCCGATTAACAACCAATACCTAGCTTCATAACAATATCATTCGGGTTTAAACAGAGTTCCAGATATGTTTACATAACGTTACGTCATGAATCACGAAATTTATTACGCCCAATTAACCAGTGCATAGAAGAATATTGCAGAAAAACTAATTGCGTGACAAATGAGGCTATCAAAACAGCTACAACGTAAACAATACTGTTTTGAGTCGAACAACACTTTCACCGTTTTTAATACCTTAAATCACTGTCCAGAGTTTTTGGGAAGACCCCAGATTAAACGAAGGACTGTCATTTTGCTGTACTTAGGAATATGCATGCGATCTTGCTAAGCTGACATGTTGTCGTGGAAGGAAGGTGCGATTAGTCTAAGTTAAGTAAAGCAACTGCGTGTACTTTTATGTTATGAACAAGTAATAAAAACCCTTCATTAATATTGACTACAATATTATCCTCGGTTTATAGGTACCAAGTCAACTGAACCGACCATCTGTCATTGACGATATGGTCCACGTCGGGTCCTGTAATAAAACTGGCATATTGTCGTCGATTTGATTAGCGCTCGAGGATAAATTGATTAGCACTGTTTGCAACATTGATTATTTCCCCTTGACAAACTTTATGAATAAATTATTATGTTTGGTTAGCCAGTTTAATTATGAGCAATATCTCACGTCAAACATGTATGTAAATATATCTATAGAATACACATGGTGGTTATTGTACCCACGGGCAACACCTGCGGCCCAATAGTTTCTGACCATGAACTGCCTTCAATACAAATGATTTCTGTTTCACAATCAAACAGTGATTTGGGTGTTGATTCCTTGGAATTATTTATGGGAACCATTTGACATTTTGGCAAACATCCAATTATAAATGTTAAGACCCCATTAATCTAGGTCAAAATATAATTGTTATTTTATGAATTATTTGTTGGATCTCATTCGATCTCCGTTAGAGAAGGGTGAGAGAGAGAGAGAGAGAGAGAGAGAGAGAGAGAGAGAGAGAGAGAGATGGGGTTTAACGTCCACTCGACACAAACCAGGTCATTTCGGGACTAACATATGGTTTAATTTTATTTACATAATTCGCTTGCGCGTAGGGGTCTTTAGCAGTGGGAGGAAACCGGAGGACCCGGAGAAAATCCACGAGGTTGGACAGGCGAGCCTACTCCTTGGCACGTACAACCGGGGATTCGAAACCACGCCAGTCGACTCAATGACAGACTTTATGATACAGCGCGCCCTTAGAGAAGGATATCAAACATGAGAATCATACTGCTCTACTGTTCACATTGGTCATTTCCGAGAAAAATGTGGTTCAATGTTTCAGGTCCACAGAAATGTTCAGTATTCAACCGAAATCAAATGACACTTGGTGGTAGTAATATTATTTGTCTATACCCAGTAACATTCATTTGGTGGTCCCAGTTAGGCATTTTCTATGACACTCACCACTTGCTGGGTTGAAGATGGAACGATTACATACGAAGTGAGACCAGACTGTTATATGCCATTTAAGTAGGGGGCGATAGAGCAGTCTAGTGATCACATGGGACTTTGAAAGGGGACTTAGAAAGACATAAGAGTAGGCCATGGTGCCGCTGCCCATGCAACATGTCCCTCATAGCACTCTACATGACGTCTGCTCGTAGATCAGTAAGATGTTAAAAACCAATTTGTGTCTTTTGTCTTTATATTTATCAATCTGGTTAAAACACGGATCCTATTTCGTTTCGTTTTTATAGTTCAAAATTTCGTTTTACTTGTCTTTATACTACACTTGGATCTGGAAGACTTGTTATTAAACTCGTGTTCTGCTTGAAATGAGGGGTCAGCCAATCAAATGGTCTGTCGAATCGAGTGCTTGACCTTTTTTGCCCGGAACTGTGGGTAATCCACTAGTAACATCAATGCTGATTGGTTAATCAAATGTCTGACGTCATAGGTCAAAATTCGGTCTTTTGACCCCTGACGTGACTATCGCTATAACTTGTCAGATCTTCATGTAGTGTAGGCTATCGAAAGTTAAAAAAACCGAAACGAAATATAGATCTGTATTTCATGTAGTGTGGGCCATCGAAAGTATAAAAAAACGAAACGAAATATAGATTTGTATTTCATGTAGTGTAGGCAATCGAAAGTATAAAATAACGAAACGAAATATAGATCTGTATTTCATGTAGTGTAGGCCATCGAAAGTATAAAAAACGAAACGAAATATAGATCTGTATTTCATGTAGTGTAGGCCATCGAAAGTATAAAAAACGAAACGAAATATAGATCTGTATTTCATGTAGTGTAGGCCATCGAAAGTATAAAAAAACGAAACGAAATATAGATCTGTATTTCATGTAGTGTAGGCCATCGAAAGTATAAAAAACGAAACGAAATATAGATCTGTATTTTAATCAGATTGTATATTTATGAAAAATTAAGTAGTAGTTGTACATACTCATCAGAATTGAATCAGTATCATTAATACGACATTCTGTACAGAAATATCAAGTTAATGCATTGATATTATGGTCTCTAATAGTCATAGGTCTCTACATTTCAATTACTCTAACTCTTACAGCTCTTTAAAAACTCAGCTACATGATACCCCGTATTGTTAAACAGATATTATCAATATATAATTAGTGATGTTTTTCGGATTAGATGTACCCGGGAGTAGCAATCTTTGTGGTTCATAAAATGGATATTGTAATATAAGTGTTCTTCATTCCATTAATTACACTTCAGTTTAATTACAATGGCTTTCCATCGTTCGGTTTCTATGGCCACATGTAAATTTCTTTTTTTACGGTTCTGTGCTGTGTGAGATTAAAAATGAATAGCTGGAAGTCGAGCATTATTGTATTGTAGAATCAACATGCATGAAAAAGTCAAAGTGTTCTTTGTTTTAAAGAGAGAGAGAGAGGGTTTAACGTCCACTCAGCACAAACTAGGTCATTTCGGGACCAACACACGGTTCTGCTCCGACTGGGCTAATGAAGACAGGCGTACGCCATACAGTGTGCTATGAGGAAATTTTGCCCCGACAGCACCACTGACAAGGGGAAGCCACGCCAGAAGGTCCCGATGAACTTTCTCGACCAACACCGGGAGCGAACCCGCGACCCCCAGGCTAGCGAGCCCGCCAAGTGTCTCCCAGCTCGATGTCAAGCTTTCTTGAAGAATCAACATTCATATATTTAAGTGTTCTCTATTTTAAAGGAACTAATCCTCTAAATCAATGTTATCCATAGTGTTCGAAATTAAAAACACTGTTTAAAATTCAATATTAGTACATTTCAATCAATATTGTTGTTATCTCACGGTGAAAATACGGATCCTAATATCCAATACTTAAGACACAATGTACAATTTAAAACCAGTACACGACGTCGTGTGCGTCATAGACATAATTGTTTCGAGCGCCATTTCTAATGAACAAATAAGAAAAACATGTCAGAAGACAACGTGGACGTTATTAAAACTTGTTGACTCATAATGCGGAAGAAACGTGTAAAATGTACAAAGCAGACACAAACGACGCCCATTCATTTTAGACTGTTCGCATATTTCCTAGGAGATGAAATGAGATGGGCATTAACGTTCCACTCTTCTACACGAACCCTTCTGTACAAAACGGGATAATGAAGACGGGTATACACCATGCAGTAATGTAATAGGGCAATTTCGCCCGGATAGCAATGTTTCCGGCTAACCGAAGTACCATACGCTTACTCCAATGACAAGTCCCGAGGATCTTCGTCGACCTAAATATGGCAGTTGTTTTACATACATTATGCCAGAGCTAAATCTGCCTATTGCAGGTCTTTCTTTAGACCTGAAATGTTTTCTAAATTATTAATTAGACATTAATTAACTTATCTAGGCCATAATCAACTCTCGATGGCATCGAATTTCTCCGATATTAAATAGATTAGTACAGTCATATTTTGATTTAAATATTGGTTGACATTATTACACACGTCTTGTCAAACCTTCAAAGGCTAATATCTTCGTTCGAAATAGAGTAATTTGAATGAAATTTTCAAATTATTCATTTTACATTATCGATTTTTGAGCTAGCAAGAATGGCCAGTTCTTTATCTAAATCTTACATAATGTATCTTTAATTGCACTTTGTTATATTTTGTCATTTATTTATTTTTGTCTGTTACAGGTTATCTCCCTTGGTATATAAAGAAAAGACTTGGAGAAAACAGACGTAAGTTTCAAAAATATTATCTAGTGGTATTACTTTAAAAGCATAGATAAATAAAATCTTTTGATTGCTGGCTTATTTACGGAGAAATGAATACGCATGCAGAGAATGGCTATTACTTAGTATTTTACCACCTTATAAGGCGGGGGATCACGTGGCTAAGTGGGTAAGAAGCTGGCTCGCTAGCCTGGAGGTCGGGTGTTCGATCCCTGCATTGGCCGAGAAAGTTCATCCAGATTTTCCGGCGTGGTCCCCCCTTGTAAGTGATGCAGGACAGCTGTCTAGTCCTTCGGATGAGACGAAAAACCTAGGTCCCGTGTGTATATTGGAATCCACGTAAAAGATCCCCTGGCAGTTGGAATTCGATATAAGAGTAGGCGATAGTGACGCTGTCCGGGCAAAATTTCCCTCATAGCACACTGTATGGCGTATGCCCGTCTTCATTAGCCCAGTATAGGAGCAGAACAGTAGGACGTTAAACCCCATTTCATTTCATTTCATTTCCCTATAAGGCGTTGAGCCAATGAAATGAATAACCATGGTTATTCAAATAATCTAAATGTAATGAAATGGGGTTTAAGTTTTACTTTTCTGCACCAACCGGGATAAAGAAAGGAAATGAATACCGGGTTAATGGAATGGGCAATCTGATTAAAATACAGATCTACATTTCGTTCCGTTGTTTATACTTTCATGGCCTCCGTAACATGAAGATCTGAGCAGTTGTAGAAGGAGGTCGCGTCAGAGGTCACGGATGCGGCTTTTGACCCTATGAAGTCAAGCTTTGATTTGTTTTGTTTTCTATGTCTGCAAATGTCTACCCACAGTTCCGCGTGCTAGACGGCAAGAACTCGAGACAACAAACCACTTATCCAGTGTAGTGAAGATAAGTAAAACGAAATTGTGAACTATAAACAAACGAAACGAAATAGGATCTGTGCTTTAATCCCATTGGGAGACGGGCATATCGCATGCAGTGTGCTGTGAGGGAAATTTTTCCCCGACGGCAGCGGTGTTTCCGCCTACTCGTCGTCGAATTACAACTGCCATGGCTTCTTTTACCTGCACACCAACTGTACACGGGACCTCGGCTTTTCCTCTCCGATGGTAGACCTGACGACATTCCTTAGGCACTGTCTAAAATTATTGTTAAATTTTAGTTTTATATCCAATCTGACTAAAACACAGATCCTATTTCGTTTCGTTTTTATAGTTCAAAATTTCGTTTTACTTGTCTGGCAGAGTTGTTATCATTGACGTGTCCTGAATGGTGTGAGGGAGTAGCCAATGAAATGGTGTGAGGGAGTAGCCAATGAAACGGTCTGTTACGGCGAGCTTTAGGCGTGTTTTGCATGGAACTGTGGATAATCCACCAGTAACATCAATGGTGATTGGTTAATCAAATGTCTGACGTCATAGTTCAAAAGCCGCTGGTAAGACCTCTGACGCGACCTATCGCTACAACTGGTCAGATCTTCATGTAGTGTAGGCCATCGAAAGTATAAAAAAAAAAGAAACGAAATATAGATCTGTATTTTAATCAGATTGGTTATATATCTATCTAATCTTTCGGGAAAGCAAAATCATCTTTGAATGAGCCCTTTAAGAAAAAGCTCCTTAATTTGTGATTTCGCCCACCATAGAAGTAGAATCCAATAACTTGTCAACAGGTTCGATTTACACATATCACATTGCAGATATTATGCTTGTTAATAATGCATGTATAATTTGAGAAGACTGAAAGAGTATATCTGCCACAGTGACTAACAAAAAGATCAAGAACATGATTAATTGTTGAAAATAAAATTGAAAACCGACCTAATTGTTTTATATAATAAAAATGTCCGCTGACGCATGAATTCTATTAATGGTACAATGACTGAGAACAAATACTTTTAGTATAATACAATAACAAATAGATCTTTCTACATTCTGTTTTTTTTTATTATTTGAAACAGTTGCTAAAATTGTATTATTCTTGTGCAAGCCAAAATTTCTAAGAGAGCAGTCATAATTTTGAATAAATATGTATAGGTTATTACCATCCCCCGGGGATTATTAAATGATGACGGAGAATTTTATAGTCAATTTGTTGAGATTTTTTAAAAGATATAATCAATTTGGTATTTGATATTTCATATGAATAATATATCGCTGTGTATGCTGGTCTAAATGCAAAACTTTTATTCTAAAAAATAGACATCAACGTGCAATCGGATTAAAATACAGATCTATATTTCGTTTCGTTTTTTTTATAATTTCGATGGCCTACACCACATGAAGATCTGATCAGTTGTTTTGGGAGGTCGTGTCAGAGGTCATACGAGCTTCTTTTGACCCTATGACGTCAGGCATTTGATCAACCAATCAGCATTGATGTTTCTAGATTGCCGTAACAGATCGTTTCATTGGCTAATACCCCACATTAGCTTACTGTGTCTCAACAGCATCCCCGAGGATGCTCAAACAGTGGCGTGCAAAGGGTTGGCGATGCTCGTGGCCAACTCTTTGATTGTACATTTAAGGCCCAAGAGGAGCCATGGTGGCTAAGTGAGTAAGCCTGGAGGTCGCGGGTTCATCGGGATTTTCCGCGAGGTCCCGTGTACATATTGGCGTGCACGTAAAAGATCCCTTGGCAGTTGGAATTCGATATAAGAGTAGGCCGTAGCGCCGCTATCCTGGCAAATTAGCCAAGTCGGAGCAGGACAGTAGGACGTTAAACCCTATTTCATATCTTTTCATTTGTATGTCCCAGGACTGAAATATAGGGTAAAGTACTCAGAAATTTAGGAAAGGAGGACATTTTGAATATGTAAAAATAGATGAAATAAGACCTGTTAATCAAATTATGTAGGGTGGCTTGTTTAATAAATTTAACAGCGATCATTTCAAATTTAAAACCCCAACGATACATTATTCAAGAGCTACATTTGTCTATTGCAGGTCTTTCTTTAGGCCTTTTACTTAAAAGTGTTACATAAACTATTAATTAAGACATTTATTAACATGACATGGCCATAATCAACTCTCGATGTCATCGGATGCTCGAGATATTATCCAGATTAGAACAGTTCAGTCATTTAATGATTTAACTTAAAAATAGAGGAACGAGTCTTAGTCTCGAATGTGCTAGTACCGTGTTTACGATACTAAACAATCAATGCCAAAGATGATTGTAGATGGACAAATTTGCGACACTTTTTCAAGGACGTACAATTTGGAACTAATTCATAGTGCTTTGATTAAAGGAGCATTATGTAAGATTTAGATAAAGAGCTGGTAGTTCTCGCTATAATATATCACAAATAGATGATGCAAAATGAATATATTAGTAGTATCTGTGGCCTTCTGGCCATATTTTTACCAAGGAGAGTTGACGCCTTTGTTCTATTCAATAGATTGAATAGGGTATTGTTATCCGAACAATGGGGATATGAATATAGATGAATAGGTATTGTTATAATGAACTCTTGTTTATCCTTTGACCTCGTTTGACTTCTGTTACGAGGTTAGCTGGAGGTCACGCATTGATTATTGGGGGGGGGGGGGGGGTGAGGGGGGGGCGTGGGGTTGCCCCTTTATAGACAGCCGCGTCGGGGTTCGTGCTGAGGTCAGGTCGTGCGTGGTCTAGCGTTAAGGGCTAATGTTAAGATCGACCATTGATTGGATTGCGATTGTTTATCCGGGGTTGGTTACCCCCCTCCCCCTTCCACTCAGTTACCAGCCCCCCCCCCCCCCCACACACACACACCTGAGATTTTTTTACTTGCGAGGAACCCCCCCCCCCCCCTGGATGTGATAGGTTTCGGAAAGGCGGGTTTGTACGCCAATATATACACGGGCCTCAGTTTTTCGTCGTAGCCGGACGAGGGCGAGGCCAGACAATCGCGACGAAGTTATTCGGCCAATGCAGGGATTAAACGTGCGACCTGCAGGCTAGCGAACCGGCGACTTAACCACATAGAGGCTCCTTGATAAAGGACCGCGTAGCAGACGATATGGCACGCGTGACTGACCCCCTTGTGAATGGTTGTAACGGCAAAGTGAACATACACTTCTCAATGGATGCAATCAACCATGAATTTACACAGATAATAGTATTATCTGTATATTATAAATGTTTTCTGGCAATATCAACCAAAATTTAACGTTAAATTTAACATATACATATATCTCAATTTTTATGTATAAAAAGACGGAATCAGATTAAAAGCAAAGACCATTTACTCAACACAAGTTAAATCTAAATATACTAAACCATTATCAATAAATAAATGGTGAAATAGAGAGATGAAACGGAAAACTGCCGCATATTCAATTTGAGCAATAAAATAAGCGGTAACCCTAGATTACCGAGAATGCATTGCACATACAAGACGATGTTGTCTTTAATCACTGATTATTTATCATAAATATCGAAGCCCAATAAATTCTCGAATTTTACATTCCCAAGTCTTTTTCCGTGGGTTTTTATCTTAGAATCTTTATCGACTTGATAAAGGTACGCGCCAAACGCTCACTAACGCTGGGAGATTTAGACAATCACAGCGTGCTACCTTTCACGTTACTCGCGCAGCCAACACTAATCGTCGCAGTTGCCAATTAGAGAAACCTTACATTTTTGATTTTTGTCTTAATAACGAGTAATTGCTCCACCAATCCTCAGACATTCAGCAATTCGTCGTGGCATGCTCCTAATGAACCGTCCAATCACGATTTGGGGAAATCTGACCCACTCATCTTGCAGTGCCACGGCCAATTCTTGCCGTGTTGTTGGTTGACGTTGACGCCGACGAACACGTCTTCCGATCAAATTAAACGTAGTACACTAAAGTAAAGATACCATAAACAGGAAATCTTATGCAAGAATCGATAGGAAAGCAAACATGGATAGGATAAGCCAGCAGGCGAGAGTTTTCATCAACCCATCCTTGAAGTGTCAAATTTGACAATGAACCCCTCCCCCCGTGGTTCTGTTGGGGTGATAAGTTCTTCATCTGTGA